AATAAACCAGTGACTTTGCTATTATTGTATAACAAAGCGCTTCTGCAATCGTTGTCAATAGTTGCATACAATTTGCTCACCTTTCAGTATAAATACCTGTTGGTGATCTATAGGGGGAGGGGATTTATCCAGGGGTCCTACTAAGTCGTAAAAAGGAATTGTGGGAGGTCGTGGCCTTAAAAATGTACTGCCAGTGGCCAGAACGAACATTTTTTGAGCGAGTAGAACACTCGAACTTTATTTATCTGGCCGTTCTTCCATGAGAACATAAATTCCCGACATTGACTTGGCTTCGTTCCACCATGCACATCTTTCAAACCATCCATTTTCATCTGTATCTACTGCACTATTCAAAGGCAAACCCGGGATTAGCCCGACTTGTGGGAAGGATACCGCGAGGGAAATTGTAAGGTCCCTACCTACCTAGATCACTCCAGCTTCGCCGCAAAATTGCGCGGTTAGGGCGCTAATCCTTACGGGCCTGCAACCATCGACCCCCGTTGCAACGCTTCCCACCCACCTCGATATCGGCGTGATCTCTCGCGTGTTTTGTCTTCTTTGACCGCCCTGCCTCGCCATCGTTCCACATCCGACCTTTTTGAAGGTTAAGGCCTTAATTTCAGCGATCCCAAAGATTTCTCTAGCTTTCCTTTCCACTTTCAGGCCGTCCCGCAGCTCAGTCATCACTACGAAGCGCTCTTATCACCAGTTTTATCCCGGGACTTGCCTTTAAATTCTGTAGTTTAGGCTACGCCACACACTGGTGATCAGATCCCTGTTATTGTTTCACAATTTCATTGCTAATAAATGACACAGGTTTTGTCCCCAGATTGCCTTTTTCTGCGTACTTCCATTGATAGTGCTTTTCCAATATGCCAACTTCTTATGTCGACTTCACTTCTGGAGACGGGACTGAATTCTTTTACCATTCTGAGGTGTGTTTATTGATTCATTCCAAGCCGCAAGCCCCATCCCATTCCATAGACCGAATCCAGAAGTTGTGATGGTCGCATGCGTGGCGCATATCGGGAAAGGGTTAATCAGTGCCATGCTTTGCTGCTCCTAGGCTCAATACTAGATGTCCCCATATACTGGGATAGCGCCTTAGTACAATTCACTCTACATGTAAGCGTGACCGCAAAGAAGTCTATTTTCGAGCTACTTTGAGGCTTGGAATTAGTCAGGGGTAACCTACTTTTTGTGTTGGTTACTTCAAGTTCAAGCTTGAACAGAAAATGGGAAGCGTGCAGACAAGCAAAAGATTTGGTGTGGGTCAGGAGATTCCAGTTGCGGTCTTCCGCCCATACAAGGTCACCCTGCGTACGACAGCGAGAGGACTTATCACAACTGCGGCCGCACTGCACATTCTGAGAGGGGTAAGCCGTCTGGATCCCCGCCAAGTTATTGGGGAAAGTCGATCGCTCAG